ATTTCATTTGCCTTTCCACAGTCTTACAAGTACTCTTAGCAACCCATAAAAGCACTTTCTGAATAAATGTCTCAAGCACCCTTTCATCCTCCAGCTTAACTGTGAAAAAGATGTCATTCCATATTCAGTAAACATGGACCAACTGTCAGATTAATGGATGAGTGCATGTGGTGCAGGTGTACAAAAAAGCGGTAATTTTGGTTGCCTCATTTTAGTGACACAAATCAATATAAAATGTGAATGTGATTTTTTCCCATTATTGCACATTGTAAGGACATAAAATAAATTTCGAAACTTATCACTTCTAAGAGTTGCTGGGAAAGTAACTGGCTGAAAACAAATAGTTTCAGCCTTACTTCTGGCATGTAATTCCTTCTATAGTTTACCCTAATGGTGGATGCCAACCTATTTATCGTCACAACTATTTTTTTTAAATCTCTTTCTGGTTTTTCCCAAATCATTGTAAAGGCCATAAACATGAGATGCCCCTGAACACTTCTCACCGGTAAAGAACTGCAAAACCAAGTTCAGAATGACATCAGATAGGAAAATAAAGTAATCGCTTGTAAAAAATACATTTACTTTGCACCAACTTTAAAAACATATCTGCTTAAATTTTTGCTTCATTTGAATAACTCTGTATATAACATCTGACTGCCATTATTACTTTTTGACAGCTTTTTAAAGTACTGCGAGATTTTGTAAAATTTAATGTGGAAAATGAAACCGGAAATTTATATGAAAAACTAAGAGAGAAAAGTGTACTTTGAAAAAATAATGTAAAAGTCCAACTGCTTACCTTTGTGTTTGGGTAGCATAACTGTTATCATATGCCTCATAGCTTGGATCATCATATTCACCCCCATACCCATCATCGTATCCCTAAAGGAAAAACAGAACACTACAGCTTAGAAGAGGGATAAATCAAAGATATTATCAAGCTGTGAAAATAACTTGCATCAATATATGCATGGTATGTTTGCTCAGTATTGTGTAAAATATGTGGCTGATTGAAGAGAACTGTGAATTGTGAGGCACAACCTGTAGAGTGCAAGGGTAAAGAAATCTGTTACTCATTTAAGAACTCAGCTTATTCACTGATAAACCATGGTGCATTGTCCAAACCACAGTGCTCCAGTGGGATCTGTGTAGACTACTGACGAAGGATAATAAAAATAATAATCTCCTGGCAGTCTGTTATACAAATAGTTTCATAAATACCTATAGGTGAAAAGAACAAATGGCAGGTGTACTACACTATCAAGAATGGTATTGTGATAAAATCTTAATATTCAGTCTAATAAACAAAGGAAAAACAAACCAAAAAATAATCTATGGGAAACAATATTTGTGAGCAAGTAACGGATTATGATCTTTTAAAATAACTTAAGAGTAAGCACCTTTTCCTTCACCGAGCATCCCACTCTTTTTAAAGTCATGCTTTTCTGTGACAATTGACATTTTAGTACAGGTTCTTCCCATCTAACTTAAGGGTCCTTACTGAAGGGCTCAGAAAAATGCTCAATCTGCCTAAGCTATAGAGACACAAGTGACTTCAGAAGGTGGTTCAGTTCATCTAATGTCTGAATATTTCACTGATGGAGTCATGGGTAGTTATGATCTATTGTAGCTGACTCTGAACCCAAGAGTGCTCAGGAACCAGACAACACATAAATAAAGGTATAATACAAGTATGACTTTTAATATGCTCTTCTTGTATGACAGGACAACAGAATAGGCAGGAAGAAGGTTGTATGGAAACACTTTTTTTCCTTTTTTTATGATTTTTGGGAGCCAGTATTTTTAGTTAAATAGAAATTAAACATTTTGTTGTCCTATAGAAACCTGACTGTTAAGTGAAGCACTAAAGGAAATAGAAGGCTTAAAAATCTTTGACTAAATATTAATTACAGCAGAAGACAACTTTTCTCCCCCCACAAGCTATGCAAAATTTAGTTAGGTTTAGGCAGAA